GGGAATAAACTAAGCTTTTGCACTCTGCAGCACTGCTCAGCGACATAGAGGAGAGAGAAAGTGAAGCAGATTCTTTAAAATGTATAACTGCACTATCTGATAATGATCTACCTTCTTTTGGGGGAGGAAAATTCTGTTAAAGTAATCCTGAAGGTTATTAGAAAGTGGTCAGAGAGGACAGGGTTGTGAGGAAATACTGTTATTTCTTCACATTATATGCCATATGTCAGCACAAGATCCAAAGTATGAAGATGAGAATGTGTGGGACTATTCACATTTTGAACAAAACCAATAGTGTCTAAGATAGCATTAAAGGCTGCTCTTAAGCTATCGCCTTCAATGTCAGCATGGATGTTAAAATCTCCCACTATGATGACCCTGTCAGTATTTAATACCAAATCAGAAAGGAACTCTGAAAACTCATCCAAAAATTCAGAGTAAGGACCTGGTGGACGATACAAAGTTACAAAAAGAAGAGGTTTTCTTGCTTTGAAATTTGGATCAGGGAAATTAAGGGTTAAATGTTCAAAAGAGTTGTAGGTATTAACTGTTTTGGGAGTAATCAGTAAGTCTGACTGAAAGATTGTTGCTACTCCTCCTCCTCGCCCAGAACTTCTGGGTATCTGAAAATTTAAATAGTTTGAAGGAGTTGCCTCATTTATGCTCACATAATCCTCTTGCTGCAGCCAGGTTTCTGTAAGGCAACATAAGTCAATGTGATTATCACAAATCAAGTCATTAACTAGCAGACTTTAAGAGGAAAGAGATCTTATGTTAAACAGACCACATTTAATCATTTAAACTTTTTCCCCAATTGGAGTTATTTTAATAAAATTATCATGATTTACACTTTTGGGAATAGTTGCTAATTTATTAGATTTTGGTCGTGGGTAAGACACAGTCTGGATGGAGTAAAGAGTGGGTAACAGTAGAGAAGCTGCAGAGATGTGTGTTAAACTACAATTCTGCTTCCTGGTCTGCACCCTGGGGGGTCAGGGTTTTGGAGGACTAATAAATGTGGCCAGATTCCTAGGAAGAAGAACTGCACCATCCAAAGTGGGATGGATGCCGTCTCTCCGAATCAGACCAGGCTTTCCCCAAAAGGATTGCCAATTATTAATGTAGCCCACGTTGTTTTCAGGACACCACCTAGACAACCAGCAGTTGAATGACGACATGCGGCTAAACATGTCATCACTGGTCAGATCAGGAAAGGGGACCAGAGAAAATTACGGAGTCCAACATTGATTTGGCAAACTTACACACCGAAGCAACACTAATTTTAGTGACCTCTGATCGGCGTAACCGGATATCATTACTGCCAGCGTTAATGCAGCGTTATACACAGCAGGTTAGATTTATCAAAAACCAAACCTGGAAAAAAGAGTAGATGAAAACAAAGATGAGCTTGCTACAGAATCAAAGGATACAACACCCCAGCGCTTCACCAGAAATCCTTCCACAGGTAAATGCCTTAAAAATGATGAAAAATATGACAAATGTGAGCAGAAAGATATTTTGCTATCACTGACGAGAACAATATACCAAAAAAAGAAAAGTTTCCTGCATCTGCTGCATTCAAACACTTTTCTGGAAATCTTGTTCCAGATAAATGTATTGCAAAGGATTCACCATCGTCATTAGATGTGCCAGACGTCTCAGAAACTGAAAAAAGATCAACAAAAGATTTTCAACTTCCTGGTGTGAAATATTAGGTAAAAAAGGAGATTTCATCCACTCAAGACTTGAAAACCCAGCAGGAACCAGAAACATTAGCCTAAACCAAAGGAGAAGCTTCCAAGTATATCGGCTGACTTTAATAAGGAAAAAGTAGATAAAATAGAAAAGGTTCATGCAACTACTACATCAAAGGGCGGCAAAGCCAAATGAAGACACCTCATTCAACATCTCGAATGCTGTGAAAGAGTTTCATACACCACATTAGATGTGCTAAAGGTCTCAGAAAGTCAGAAAAATTTATCAGAAAAGAGCCATCAGAAATCAGGTCTCGAAGTTCATTCAAAGATAGAAGAAAACAGGAACAAATTAAAAACAATCATCCAACAGTTAAAGGATTGGCTGAAAACAGTAAGGAACCAATTCTTACAGCCCAAAAAATGGAAAAAAAAACTTCTCATCTGCCTCCCTGCACACAACGGCTTCATGCAGAGCCATCATTGGGTCAAAGAGGGACTAATAAAAAACGGAAACCGGCTTAAACCTTGTACATTTGAAAACTCAACACTCTCTGTGTGGAATACGTGTGGATTCGATGCACTTTGTCAGTGCTTATGCAGTGCTTTTTGTGACAGCTCAGCTTTTCAAAATGTTGTAAGGAAGAACAGCGATATTCCCATCTTGCAGCTGGTAAAATCTATGGCTACGGATGGTGTGACCCCAAATATATATTCACAGAGGGCAGAGCTGCTCAGTACAATATTTCAAAAAGTCCAGGCGAGGTCTGGTGGCTACCAAATCTATGCTCAGTGCCCTATCTCCTCACTCATTAGAAAAACAGTGAAAAATGTACCCAGCGCATACCTCTCCAAAACCTGCTCTTCACAGTACTGTCAATTAAACAAGGGAGTTACAAGGCAAGTACCTTTTGTTTCACCTGACCTGTCAGTCCTGATGGAATGTGGAATAACGCAACTTAAGACTTCAGCAGAAAATGCACTCTTCCTTTCTGAGTCTCTATGCTGTCAAAAACTACTAAATGAATCAGAATGTCCAGATGAATGTAAAATTGAAGGCAGCACCCAGGAGAAATGCTCTGCATTGGAAATGTTACTCATAGCTACAGCTTTGGGGAAATAGTATGCATTGACCTTGAACTGGACAACACACCTTATTTTTCTTTGAGTGAATTTCCATCCATTATGTCTCTAGAAGGAAAGACAATTACTTTGAGAGGAGTCATCGTGTTCAAGAGAGGCGTGATCAAAGATGGCCTGGGACATTACGTGGTCTACTGTTGAAGAGCTAAATGTGTGGGAGCTTTATGATGACCTAGCAAATGCTGTGAAGACAGTATCTGGAAAGAACAGAATAATACCACATGCAGCATTATACACAGCAGACTGCATGATGCGAAAGAACACCTTTTGGAGAGAAAACCCTAGCCCTAACCGTACCCTACCCTAACCCCACACAAACCCTACCCTAACCCTAACCTACCCCCTCAACCACCCTCCCCCCATCCCACCAACCCCCCATAACCCAACCCTAACCCCCTCACGCACCTCGCCAACCCCGAACATCCCAACCCTACATCCCACCCCACATCCCATCCGCAACCCCCACACCCAGCCTTACCCCCCAACCACCACCCTTTCTCTATCATCTCCACTATCCCTCTCATGACAAAATTTACAGATGCATGACATGAACAATTGGACAATCTGGGGTGCAATAATCCATGTAGATAAAGCACATAGCTTTACAATTATTATGAGCTTGGAGATATAAGGTCCGAGTGTAATTTGAGGGTGCCATGGAAACACTCCAAGACTGTTTTGAATGCTCTGACGGGAACATCTTCAAGGCTGCAGCAACATACTGTATGAGGACTTATTAAATATAGATGAGTATGCCATGACTGTGTCAGCCTACATCAACAAATGCATTGAGGACGTCAGCGTCAAAAAGAACATCACCACCCGGGCGAACTAACCCACTGGATAAATGGAGAGGTTCGGAAATCGCTAAAAGCAGAGAACTAAGCTTTCAAGTCTGGTGATAAAGAGGCACTAAGAACAGCGTGTGCCAATTTAAACCTTGCCATCAGATCAGCGAAGTAGAACCACAGCCAGAAGATCCGGGATCTTTTCCAGGACGACAGCAACGCCAGGAGGATGTGGAAAGGCATTCAGATGATCACAGACTACAACACCTCATCGTCCAAGCGGTGTATGATGTCCTCCCAAGCCCCACTACCCTCTTCACCTGGGGCCTGATAGATTCACCTGTGTGTCAGCTCTGCCAGAGGAAAGGGTCTCTTAAACACATCCTAAGCTGCTGCCTAAAGGCCGTGGGAGATGGCAGATAAACACCAGCAAGAGTCGACCTCTAAGGAGGGGCATGATTGCCTTTGTTTGAGCAGGGGAGAAACTGCAACCCTCCAAGAAAACCCAACGGGGCCAGCTCAAGACAGCAAAAGACTGACAGCTCTTGGTCGATCTGGGGAGGCAGTTGCGATTCCCGGATTACATCGCAGCCATGACACTCCGCCCGGACATGGTGCTGTCATCAACTTCCACCAGACAGGTTGTGCTGATTGAACTAACTGTTCCTTGGGAGGACAGAATAGCGGAAGCCCAGGAGAGGAAGGGGGCTAAATATGCAAATATGCTCGTGGCTGAGTGCTGGAGGAATGGCTGGAAGGCCCGCTGCAAGCCTAGCCTATCCTAGGACTCCTAGGGATTTGAGTTCTGAGTCGAAGAGCCACCAAAAACATTTTGAAAGCAGCTGAAAAGGCTTTACGGTGGCTCTGGTTGAGGAGGGGGGAGGTGTGTCGTAGTGTGCTACCTGGATACAAATCGGGGAACTGATCTCCCCCGGCTGGGTCACCCAAGTAAGGGTGTATGACTAAGACCTGAAACACCCAGTGATCTCAGGAGAGTCGCTGAAGATGTGTCCAGGTTGCACCACCAGGTGTATTACAATTCTCGGAGAATATAATGATGAGAAAATTAGCATTACATGAGGAAAACATAAAGAAACAGGAAGACAGCGACAGCAAGATCCAGCAGACAGAGTAAGAAACTAAGGAGCCCTAATACTGTCTTTAAGTGACAGCATTATGGAAACCTGAATTAATTTATAGTGGCAGCTGGATGGGAAGAAGGGCTTAAGAAATACAATTATACCAATGGCATTACAGAAGCATGAAATAAGAAGAACAATGAAGTTAACAGGATTAAAACATGTGTAAGGTGTGCTTAAGGCAGTATAAATTTTTGATGTTGAGAACTGTAGCTTAATGTTTAACCACACGTTACCTTAAGTGCTTTGATCTGCTCCTCAAGAGGCAAATTTGAGGATTTTATTGCATCTAGCTGTTTCTCTTTTTCAGAAATCCATGAGGAAAATGAAATAAATCCGATTCCAAATCGATCCCACTGATTTTTCATTTCCTCCAGATTCTTCACCCTGGGGAAAAAAGGACTAATTAACTCAGGAAATTTTAAAATAAACCTTTTTATTGCACAGTAACACACATAAGCCCTGATCTTATAAAAGCCTGCATGTATGATAAACATATTCAAACTAGTTTTGTCATTCAGAGCTAATCATCAAAGCAACAAAAGCATTCTGTTTGCAAACTTAGTGGAACAGTGTGTGCCTTCATTAATATGTAGCTCTGTTTTTATTACTGTTCTATGAGATTATTGGCAATATTTGGATCAAGAGGATGTTGTGACACATACATTCAGCCATTTAGAGCTTAAATTGGCTGACAGTGGATCATGTCTGTAAGAGGACAGTCAGATAGAACTTTCCCAGGTTTTATGATTGATGTTTAGTCTGGTTATACTCCCGTAGCAGTGTGTCGCAGTGAGCTTGTCGCTGGTATGATGCAGACATTTTTTATTTATGCTCAATATTGAAGCGTGGTCTGTGCTATGTTTATTCCACGCCATAACGCAAAAGGAGAAAATCACGAATTAGATGTGGGTCTAGATACGGCAGAGGCGGTGAGGAGAACGGAGGGACATCAGGGCGAAAAAGAGTGGAGATCCAGGTGGAAAAAGGGTCCTAGTGTTCTCACGCACCTCACTCTTCTAGCTGGTCCATCTACACGAGTAATTTTTTGCAATCGCAGTCATACAAACAAAACAAGCCGATAAGGTACCAAACAGGAGATACGCATAGTGTAGATAGGATGTAGATTTGACCAATCAGAGGCCTCCTGTCTGCAGCACTGTCTGCGGTCGCCTACAATTTGGGAGAGCAGCAGCAGAGTGTCTGCGGAGGGGGCGGGGACGTCTATGCGTTCACCGCGACACCCATGCAGACGACCTAGTTTCAAAGTATAAATCAGCCTTAGATTTAACACATATTTTGTGTTGTAGCACTTTCTGGTACTTATGTAAAATGCACAAAGCTAATACTCACCATCGTTATCTATATTATTACTTTCTAAATAATAATTATTAGCATTACCTTCCCCTTATGCAGACCGAATTTTTGTGGGTCACCCGCATTTGACTGATTTTCCTAGAAACACTTGTATATATTGTTTCATAACAATAATGTATTAAAATGCAATGATATAGAATTACGATTAATATATCAGAAATTTGAGTAAGTTTTCTATCTTAAAAACTGGAGAACATATTTAACTTACTCTTCCTTCAGTCTGGTTTCTACTTTGTCCACCTGCTCACTGAGAGAACGAGCTTGCTGTAGAAGAAGAGATTTGCTTTTTGCACCAAGCTGGATTTCTGTTGCTCTCTTCTGTAAGGTGTTCATGTGTAAGACTTCCGCTTCGCACTGCTTCAGCATCACCTGTTCACAAAATCATCAAATTTGCAATACATATAAGGAGAATTACCTATTTTTTTCCCTTATAGCAAAAAAACTGAGTCGGTCTAAAAAGGTTTGTTACGCTTTAAACCAAATGTTCTTACATTTGCCTGATCCAGTTCAACGGCAAGGCTCTCAGGACTGCTGAAGTTAACATCTCTCTCTACTGTGGAGCGGGCTTTGTTGACAAACTCATGCACTGCTTCCTGCTGACTGTCAAACTCCTGCCAGGCGGCCAGAGTAACCTGAAAAATAACAAATATCAAAAGTAGAAGTATTTTCAATGGTTTGAAACAACATGACTCTCAATTATACTGTCTAAATCTGAGATGTTGACCCAGCTATCATCAGTTACAACTGCTCCACCCGTTTGGCATGTTAAGGTGAATACATCTTCATAATCTTTCTTAGTGACTGTGTTCACCTCGAGGTTTTGTTCCTGTGAATCCATACTCTGCTCCATTTTGCCCAGTGTGTTTTCTAAAGTCTGCAGGTCCTGCTGCAGAGTCTCTCCCAGTCCTTCTTCAGACTGGAGTTGCTGGCCTCTGGTGATCAGCTGCTGGACATCCTTCCTTTTTAGTTTTAGTCGCTTTAACTGTTGCTGTTATCAAGAGAAGTTCATTCAAAATGTTAATATGTTGAAACACGGAGAGCCTAGACATAAAGCAGCATGGAGGTCGGTAAAGAAAAAGATTGACGATTCGGTCTCTGTCATGCAGCACCTGATGAACGAGCAGCAGCTGTTGGGCTTCTCTTGAAGTAGAACAATCCAGTATTTTGGTGGCCTCTGCCTGAGCTTCTTTCTGCCCCTGATCCAGATCCTCCAAAGTCGCCTGTACTTCCTCTCTGAACTGCACACAATCCCCAACTGCAAGCACCATCTTCTCCGCCTTTGAAAAGAATTATCATACACATTGTTTTCTGCTAACAAAACTACTTGGAGATTTACTTCAAACTATTGAAAGACGTTTTGACATATATAGTTTATAATTGATGGATCAGATGCTGACTAAGATTCTTTAAACTGGTGTATTTAACAATACAAAATTGAACCATTAGGGCAACCGTTTTCCTTCTTTCTTTTTTTAAGTGAGAATACAAAATTTTGACCGCAACAAATATGATAATTTATTTCTTATTGTTATCCTTTAACAAGCAAGCATTTTGTTAACAAATTTGCTACAGTACAGAGCTTTGTAATGTATATGAACATTGAATAATATGTACAAGGGTTGGACAATGAAACTGAAACAACTGGTTTTTGTTTTTTTTGGTGTAGGGCCTCCTTTTGCGGCCAATACAGCTTCAATTCTTCTTGGGAATGACATATACAAGTCCTGCACAGTGGTCAGAGGGATGTTAAGCCATTCTTCTTGCAGGACAGTGGCCAGGTCACGACGTGATGCTGGTGGAGGAAAATGTTTCCTGACTCGCTCCTCCAAAACACCCCAAAGTGGCTCAATAATATTTAGATCCGGTGACTGTGCAGGCCATGGGAGATGTTTATCTTCACTTTCATGTTCATTAAACCAATCTTTCACCAGTCTTGCTGTGTGTATTGGTGCATTGTCATCCTGATACACAGCACCTCCTTCAAGATACAATGTTTGAACCATTGGATGCACATGGTCCTCCAGAAATGTTCGGTAGTCCTTTGGTAGTCCACAAGTATGGGGCCAAGGGAATGCCATGATATGGCAGCCCAAACCATCACTGATCCACCCCCATGCTTCACTCTGGGCATGCAACAGTCTGGGTGGTACGCTTCTTTGGGGCTTCTCCACACTGTAACTCTCCCGGATGTGGGGAAAACAGTAAAGGTGGACTCATCAAAGAACAATTCATGTTTCAGATTGTCCACAGCCCAAGATTTGCGCTCCTTGCACCGTTGAAACCGACGTTTGGCATTGGCATGAGTGACCAAAGGTTTGGCTATAGCAGCCCGGCCGTGTATATTGACCCTGTGGAGCTCCCGACGGATAGTTTTGGTGGAAACAGGAGAGTAGAGTTGTACATCTAATTCTGCCGTGATTTGGGCAGCCGTGTTTTTTTTTTTTTTTATATAATCGGGGTTAGCACCAGAACATCCCTTTTAGACAGCTTCCTCTTGCGTCCAGAGTTAATCCTGTTGGATGTGGTTCGTCCTTCTTGGTGGTATGCTGACATTACCCTGGATACCGTGGCTCTTGATACATCACAAAGACTTGCTGTCTTTGTCATAGATGCGCCAGCAAGACGTGCACCAACAATTTGACCTCTTTTGAACTCTGGTATGTCACCTTTAATGTTGTGTGCATTGCAACAGTTTGAGCAAAACTGTGCTCTTACCCTGCTAATTGGACCTTCACACTCTGCTCTTATTGGTTCAATGTGCAATTAATGAAGATTGGCCACCAGGCTGGTCAAATTCAGTAATTTAATGAGAGGTGTTTCAGTTTCATTGTCCAACTCCTGTATATAATCATCCTGTCAACCCGATATCTCATAGTTGCAATGGTGTTCTCCACATACAAACTTTGCTCCAAGAGTAATGATGGAGGACTTGCGTTCAGCAAGGTACTATAAATGACCAGAAAAAAGAGTATGAAAGGTCTTCCAAAAGAACAAAAGGGACTTACCTCAACGAGAGAGGCAAGGAGACCCTTAAAATCAGCAGAGAGTTTGTTCAAAGTGCTTCCCTGCCTTTGGGCATCACTGTCAGCACAGATTTCAATCAGTACAGCCATACGGGCTTTTAGCCAAGCAAGGTTCCCCTCCTGTAGCTCTGCCTCATTTCTCAACTCCTGCAAACAAGATCAAAAGCTGATAAAACCCTATGAGGCCAAAGGTGTCATCTTTTTTAAGTGACTTAGTAAACAGTCTCATCTCCTCAGGATGACAAACAGTAACAGGAGCAAGGCAAATAATGGGACTCACCGTGATGGTGGATTTCACCTGATTGTATTTTCTGGGGTCACTGGCTCGGTTTCTCAGAAGCCTCAGTTGGCTTTCTTTGGATATAAGCCAACAAGACAGTTCGGCATACCTGTTTTCAAGAAAGGGATGAAGAAAATCAATCCAGAGGTAAAAGGACACAAAACATTCATTTCAGCTTATATATATAAAAAAATACTAAAATAGTTAAGGTCATAAAGAAGCAAAATATGTGGTGTATAGGAAGTTAAAATGTGTGCTTCACAAAATGACTAGACGTCTACATTAATAGTGGAATAACAGATTCAAATCTTTATGATATTACACTTGAACTAATGCAACGATAAAAATTAAAACTGTACAAACTGCAGTTAATCTCTATTATTAATAGAGGTGAAGAGTTTGTGACACAGAAATGAAAACCACACTCAGCCATTCACATTTTGCAACATTTCCAGGTAATAGATTTTAGTAAAGAGGACGAGATTGCTTCACCTTTTAGGCCTTCTTCTTTGATTGTTTAAAGGAATAGTACACCCAAAACATGATTAGCCTTCATTTTCTACTCACCCCCATGCTGAACAACACTCTGGAGTACTTTTTTGATATCTCAAATGCATCTGGAGATCTGGGAGGCTTCTTGCTGTCTGCTGACATTCAAATAATGGAGGTCTATGGCGCCCGAGGCAGAAAGGTCCATAAAAGTCCACAAAAAACGTGTCAATATTCCTCCATACTGCTCGTCCAATGTATTCCAAGTGTCCTGAGTGGGTAGCATCCATAATTTACTCGAAACGAAGTCATTTAGAATGTTTTTAGAGCATAAACAGTAGTGTATAGGATTTCCTAAAAGCGCGTTCACGAGTCTACGGAAGCCGGCAGACCAAACCAGATGAAAGTGCGCATTCAGCGTCTGCTCTGCCGATAATGCAAGCGTAGAAGAAGAAATGTGCTGTTTACCTGTGCAAAGAAAGAAACAACGAAAGAAAAATGTCTGAGGATTTCAGTGTTGAGGAAGAGCATGAGTTCTTTGCCGAGCTGAATGCGCACTTTCATCTGGTTTGGTCTGCCGCGGTTTCCGTAGCGTCGTGAACGCGCTTTTAGGAAATCCTATACACTACTGTTTATGCTCTAAAAACATTCTAAATGACTTCGTTTCGAGTAAATTATGGACGCTACCCACTCAGGACACTTGGAATACATTGGACGAGCAGTATGGAGGAATATTGACACGTTTTTTGTGGACTTTTATGGACCTTTCTGCCTCGGGCGCCATAGACCTCCATTATTTGAATGTCAGCAGACAGCAAGAAGCCTCCCAGGTCTCCAGATGCATTTGAGATATCAAAAAAGTACTCCAGAGTGTTGTTCAGCATGGGGGTGAGTAGAAAATGAAGGCTAATCATGTTTTTTGTGTACTATTCCTTTAAGCTAAGCCAGTCTCAGAAAAAACAAATATTTTCTTTAAAATACCGTACCTTGCATCATACTCCTTCCATTTATCTTGGTGCTGCATTAGCTTCTGGTGGGTGTTTTCAATTTCCTCCTGCACCTCAGTAAAGTCCCTTCTTGCCGTGTCCAAAATCTGATGAGCTGGGTCCCCCTCAGGTAGCTTTTGACACAGTTCTTCCATCAACTGTAGTCTTTTCTCACATATAGACTGAGGACCCTTCTCCCTAAAGAACGCCTTAATGGCATTTTATAAAGCAGAACATTGTTACAACACAGTTACACATAAAGATCTTCAATTCTTTATCAATGTTAATATTTCGCTGAATGATCAGATTCAGTATGACTGCATACCACCCTATTCAGATCTTAATAGGTAAAAACCAGAGATGGGAAGTAACGAAGTACAAATACTTCGTTACTGTACTCAAGTAGATTTTTCTGATATTTTTACTTTACTTTACTACTTATTTTTATGACGACTTTTTACTTCTACTCCTTACATTTTTACACAAATATCTGTACTTTCTACTCCTTACATTTTAAAAAATTGTCTCGTTACTTTAGTTTGAATAATTTCAATGGAGTTACCGTTATTATTTTTCACGTCATCAATACCAAATTCAATCTAATTGGATGGGAATCTACGTTGCATTTGACGCACCACTACAAGATGAATCGACAGATTCGGCGGTATTCATTGGCGGCAAATCATTGCAGCTTGGTGGCGGTGGCGTTAGCATAGTAGCATGGACGACGAGATGATTGAAAATGAACACAACGGAGATCTAGTCCTATTGGCAGACATCCATTTAAAATGTAGGCAACGGCATGAAAAAAGTGGTTTCTACTTTTACTTTTATACTTTAAGTAAATTTACAAGCCTGTACTTTGTTACTTTTACTTGAGTAAAGAAGTTTAATCAGTACTTCCACTTTTACCAGAGTATTTTTTAACACAAGTATCTGTACTTTTACTCAAGTACGGAAAGTGAGTACTTTTGCCATCTCTGGTAAAAACAAAAAATGATTTCCTTGCAGTTTTCAAGCGAACACTACTTTACTTTGGAGTATCGCTTGAAAATTTCAGTAGAAACATTTCAAGAACATGTTTAAGTAGCAATAGTGTGCTGACCCTGTGCTCCTTGATGAGCCTCTCACTCCCCATGCTAGCCAGGTGCCGGTTTTCCCTGGTCAGCTCTGCCTGGCACCCCTGCAACGACACCATCAGCTTGTTCCTCTCGCCCTCCACCTTCAGATGCAGGAGATGAAAAGGGGCTTCCGTGTGTATATCCTGAGGAAAGAGGAACTATAATCTCATATTTGTTTACAGCACTATAGTTTCAATACACTTTCTAACAGCTAAACTACTGTTAAATTATCTTCTTACAATGTAGTTTTTGTATCATAACAGAAAGATAAGAATTAGTATAAGCAAGTATTCACATATCCTTTTGAAATAACTTTTTATCTATAGATTTTCATGGATTAATTCCCACCAACCTTCCAGTGTTTGTGCAGCTTTCTAACTGTTTCCTGCAGACACTGCTGCTCCTGCTCAGGCAAAATATCCGTCAGTTCGTCACAAGCCTTGAGGAACGTGTTCAAAACCCGCTGGTCCAGCTGTCCAAAGAATTCCTGCAAATGACAGCAAGATGTTTTCAGGGTTCAACCTCTAGCTGAGGCTTGTTCTTAAAAACAAAACTCATTTACATTAAGCTGTAGTTAAAAAAACCCCAAAACAACTCAAGTATATTTTGGTGACCAAAAGTGACAGACTGGTCAAAAATATCAACATCTGATGTTTCTTTCTGAGAAGTGAATGCATCGTACTTAAAACATTTTTGAGCATGTAGGATGATGTTCAAACAGAAATGGTACTTTGTCCGTTAAATTTAAATAGCGACATCTAAAAGACAAGAGGGACTTCAGCAGGTAACAGATAACAAATAAAAGAAATGGGCCAAGAGCTGTTTGGAACATTTTGGAGTAAAGTTCTCCAGTATGGATGCACATTAATACAGCTGTTTTTGTAAAACTAGTTGCATTACTATAGTGTTATACTAAAGCAAATCTAAAATGTCAACTTCATCACATTGGCTTTGGTTAAAAACAAAAAGGAAAATTGGTGCTGGCAGCTCCAACTTCCACAAAACTGAATTCTGATCGGTGCATTGTGTCAATTATATTAGGATATAATAAACTGCTCCCATCTATTTTGATGAACAGAAGCTGAATGTTTAAAAAAAGCCCTACTGTGTGTTTCTTCAGCAGTTCCTCCGGGTTGCCCCTTTCTGTCAGACAGTTCTGGGCCGCTTTCAGGACTTTCTCCAGCTCGACTCGTGACTCATCAAACCTCTTCATGAGGCTGCTGTTTGCTTCCACATGCTTTCGCCACTCTGTTGATTCCGTAATCATGTTCTAAAGGAAATCCCACAAGCAATTACTTCACTGCTGACAAGCAGCTTTAGACATACAGTGATACTGCATTAGATTATGAAAGTTACCTGTGACGAAGTCTGCAAATCTGCCACTCTCTTCTGCAACAGACTCATGTCCATATGCTGCAGGGTTTTACTGGTGTTCATGATTTTTTGGATAGTTTGATGGTTTCTTTCTATTACTGTCAGGCACTTCTTACAGCTGTGTGTGAAGGTCGCCAGCTCCTAAAGTGTAAAATAAAAAAAATGTTATGTATATAATACGATGTTGCTTTAAGTTAACCAAACATTAGGCTAAAAACAAGGCAATGAAACCTGACTTTTTAAGAGGGTCAATTAGACATTTATATCCATAAGTCTAAAGTTCATTAATCCTGAACTGTTTTATGAGTTACCTGGCAATTCTGTTTAAAATCTACTGGTCCCTCAGAGTCTGTGGTGCCGGTGATACGGCCAGCCTTCTCCAGAGCTTGGTAAAAGCCTGTGATGTTCCTCTCCATTTCCTCCAGTGGAGGTAAGAGAGACTGAGACTCCCTTAGCAGAGGCAGAAACCTCTCCCTCACCTGACAAGAAAAAGTCATGTCAGAAAGATAAACATGCCACGTCGTTCCGAAGGAAACAGATCCTTAGTTCCTTAAAAAGCGAATCACACTCCCTGAACTTTATTATGACACACTACAGTGTGTTTTAGAGTGAATTTTTGTTGCAGGAACATACTGTACTGTAAAAACACGAGTAAGAGACCAATAGTCACTCTGGTAGATTGGTAAAAAGACTGTTAAAAGACAATTAGTGGTGCAGTCCACTTGTTTGGCTTCCACAGAAGAAATGGAAGAAAAAAGCAGATGTTTCAGGATTTTGACTTGGAAAGGAACTAATACCTCAAATCACCATCCCCACTATGAACTGTCTGCAGCATCGTCTGTGGGAATTTAATAGAAATATAAATCCTTTCCCCTTCTGATTACGGGTGTAAATTAAAATCGTTTTGTATCGATGCATCGATCCAACAGCCGACGATCCGATGCGTCTGCAAGAGTATCGATTCACGTTTTTCTATTTTTATCCATTTGCCCCTGGATGTAATTCTCCCTCCCATGCTGCGGTGGCGCTAAACCTATTTTGCCCTTGTACCTCGCTTCCTGGTTATACTCTTACAGCAGTGTGTCGCAGTGAGCTTGAAGCAGACATTTTTAATTTATCCTCAATATTGAAGCGTGGTCTGCGCTACACGCTGTGGGTCTAGATACAGCCGAGGCGGCGAGGAAGCGTGGGCGAGTTTAGTCCGACAACGGAGGGACATGAGGGCCAAAAAGAGCGGAGATCCAGGTGGAAAAAGGGTTCCATATTACAGCGTTCATTGATTTATTCCAAATTTGAAACATTGTGTAAAAAAGTGTAAAAAAAAAAGAAAAGAACAAAAAAATGAACCAATTAATTGAATTGAATTGTATCGTGGTGTATTCTTGAGTATCGAAAATAATCAAATCGCTGGGTCAGGAAATCGAAACTGAATCGAATCGCCATGATGGATGTGATTTACACCCCTACTTCTGATTGGCTGAGGCAACAGTTATTCCAAACAAGGAGCCGGAACTGAAATAAAATGGATTTAATGGAAGCAATGTTATTATTGCAAACATCTAGACTAAAATTCAATTTAGAGTCTGTGACAAGGCATCATCGTGTAACCTGATTCGATTTGTACCGTTTGAACCGAGGACAAGGCAAACACCTGAATATCCTTGTATGTAAAGCTGGTGGCTCTGCATACACTTTATAAATGATTGTACAATTTTTAAAACCATGTATTTTTTCTATTATTTGAATTTATGTATTACTTTATGTCGATCCGTCACATTAATATTCAACTGGGTGAGTTTTTCTCTCTCCTATCATTACATGTATGCTCAGTATGACAGATTACTGCAGTAAGTAATCTGATAATATGCAAGCACTGTCCACTGTCACTACATGCTCATCCAGGAGGAGTGAATTCTGCAGTGTCAAATCACTGCTGTCTGCTGGGTTTCCTTTTAACCAAGCTGTCTGTATCATTTGATTAAATTACCTCTTAAAGTGCCTTGAAATGACATGTGCTGTATATTGGCACTATACAAATACATTGCATTTAGCTTAAAAAAGGGGGTATTCTCCATTAAATGATAGCCCATACAGTATATTACAATCACTAATGTCTATCAACACAAAATAAAGCATAAAAACATATGCAATGGTGATATAATAGCGTCTTTAATCTTAATTGGCTGTAGGGAGGCAAAAAACTTAATATAACACTCTTGTTGCAAAACACCACATGCTGACACATTCTCACCTTACTGAGCTGCTCTTTGATCGAAGCCATCACATCCATCATCTGAGAAATCTCCTCTTGTGGAGTGTCTTTGGTCAACAGCCTGGCGGTGCGGCTTGCGGCCTTGCAGGCTGCCTCCATTGCTGGCACTTTGTGCTTGATTTCCTATGAGAGATAATATAAAAAAAATACGGTGAAATGACGGCATACAGGACAGAAACTGATATAGTGAGGGTTGGTGTAAACTTTAAGAAAAATAAATGGTCTAACCTCCACATCTTGAACAAAGGCCCTGACGTTAAGGAAAGATACTTGAACAGGAGCGGTCATCTTCTCGTTTGTTGCATCCATAAACATCTTTAAGGTCTTAATCCCATCTTGATAGTCTTGTCTTAATTTATCAACTTCATCTGCTCTTGCATACTGCAAAGGAAATAGCAAAGATGATTAGACTTTTTTTAATAATATAAGAAGGCTATACCTGCTATGTAAGAAATGTAACACATTTTGGTATGTAATTTGGATTTAATAATGCATAAAACGTACATGTTTGACTTTGACAAATAGCTCTCTCCATCTACCGTTCAGCAGCAGAAGCTGCTGCTTTAGATCTCGCGAGACGGTTTCGTCGCACGTTTCAATGAGAAAATTGCCAGCATCGTTCATGTCCATGTGCTGCTGGATCCAGTGAGAAAGGTTCCTGAAAAAATCCTGAAACATGAAAGAAAAAAAAGGCTAAAAGAGTGCAGGGCTGCATGCTATGGGAACACATAGCGATGATGTCATAGAGTGTATTTTAATGTTGCATTCGCTCTTGTTCCTACTGTCTCTAAAAGCTCTTACACGCTTGGCATTCTCTGACTTGCTGAGCATTTGCTCAGCATCCTCCAGCCAGGCTTGCAGTGATGCCACAGAGCTGCTATACTTCTCCCAGTTACAGATCACTTCTTCGAGCATGCTGCGAACACTTCGGACCTCCAGGGCCAGGTTCTTCCACTGAGCTGTTGTTTCAGTCAGGAATTTGCTCACACCTTCTGCTTCATCAACTGGAAATCAAACAACTTTAGATTAGCATAGCTTCCTAAGATAACTAAACACTTTCACATGATGACATGATAGTGCCTTGAAGTATTCATTCCCTCTGAACATTTGTCATAAAAACACAAACTTCAGTGGATATTGTTGGGATTTTCACACTCAATCGTAGACTTGCTATGTGAAAGATAAGGGATACATGGTTCAGAAGCATGTTTTACTAGTGATGATTTAAACTACTTTTTACTACGATTACTGTCTTTCGGATAATGTCTCTACCAGGTTTCTGCATCTAGAATATGGCGTTTTGTCACATTCTTTGATACTAAGTAGCTGTGCTTCAATAGATTTTAAGGAAGCGCTTTAATGAAAATCAATTTTTAAGTCTTTCCTCAAGATTCTCAATTATCTCACTGCATGCTGTTTCACTGTGGATATAATGTGTTCAGAGTGATTCTGGGTGTAGGTTTTCCACCATATCAAGGGTTTAAATTACGGACTGATTTTGGACTCATTCCATCAAAAAACGAACACCTTCCACCATAGGTGTGTTGGGTCTTCTAATTGCCTCAGAGCAAACAGTAATTTACGATGGATTATTTCGAACTTTGGTTTTATTCTTACTACTCTGAGGCCAGATTGTGGAAGGCATCATTACTACTTGTCTGACTGACATTCCTCCACCTGAGCCGTGGATGTTGGCAGCTCCTCTAATGCCACAAAGGGCCTTTTGGCTTTTTCTCTAAATAATGGTCTCCTTGTCAGTTTTTAGGTGAACTGTCATCCCTATCTACCCCCATCACCCTCTGTGACTCCACCATTGACACTGTAGAGTCTTTCCGCTTCCTGGGAACTTTCATCACCCAGAACCTAAAGTGGGAGCTGAACATCGACTCCCTCACCAAAAAAGCCCAGCAGAGGATGAACTTCCTGCGGCAGCTGAAGAAATTCAACCTGCCCAGGACAATGATGGTGCAGTTCTACTCCTCCATCATTGAGTCCATCCTCACTTCCTCCATCACCATCTGGTACGCTGGTGCCACCGCTAAGGACAAGAGCAGACTGCAGCGTGTCATCCGGTCTGCAGAGAAGGTGATTGGCTGCAACCTCCCATCTCTCCAGGAGCTGCACGCCTCCAGGACTCTGAGGCGTGCAGGGAAGATTGTGGCTGATCCTTCGCACCCCAGTCACAGATTATGTCAGTCACTTCCCTCTGGCAGGAGGCTGCGGTCCATCAGGACCAGAACCTCCCGTCACAAAAACAGTTTTTTCCCATCTGCTACCGGCCTGATCAACAAGGCCAAGAGCCGCCCGTGACACTGGACAATGTTTCTCTCCCCCATTCAGGATTTCTGCGTTACATTAACCCACAGTCTACTGTGTGTATATAGCTTCTGTATATATTCTATCTTATTTTGTTTTTTGTCTGCACCAACAACACCAAGTCAAATTCCTTGTAAGTGCAAACCTACTTGGCAATATACTTGATTCTGATCCATTTTAGCAGTCGTGCAAAACGTCCTTCTTTTTATAGTAAATTTAACTGCTAAAAGTTAGAAGCTTGGATATCATTTTTAAGCTTGTCTTGATTTAAACTCATCCACAACTTTAAACTTTACATGTTTGCTCCTTTTCTGTGTCTTCATGGTGTTTTTTGCTCTTTAATATTCTGTAAGAAAGGTTATAGGCCTTCACAGAGCAGGTGACTTGGGGAATTACATACATGTGGACTTAGTTGGGTGTCTTCTGTAGGCATTTGTTAGGATTTTACTCAGGTGTATCAGATTTAAGTGCAGGAAATACAAATTCAAGTCAGGTTTTCCTATTTTGTTTTTATGCAAACCTAGAAATCATTTTCCTTCAAAAATATGCCCTAATTTGTGTTGGTCTGTCATTTAAATCCCAACAAAATACACTGAGGTTTGAGGCTGCATTGTTCACACAAGTGTTCAAGCCGTATGAATACTTGACTGCCAGTCGATGTTACATACTGTGTAGAAACAGCGAATGATTGTGCTTGCTGATCTTATGTTTGTTAGGTCAGTTAAACATGCTAAAATACCATTCCAACTAGTTATTCCCTCATGCATAATGCACCATGACCTTTTAATTCTTGGAGGCAGAAGTGGGTTGAAGCAAAAAGCAAGCCAAGAGTTAGAGAAGGAATGGAAACAGGCACATTTTAGTTTTCGCTGTTTTTGGACTTACCTTTGTTACAGGTTTTAGTCCCTGTAACATAAAAATCGACGCTGTTTACTAAAAAATAGGACAAATACTCATTTTGTTTAGGTATCCCAATATATGTATTTGTAAAATAAACATATAATCTTACTTGAACTGTCTGACTTGATGTAAACCTCTGCAGCTTGCTTCAGGGCGGTAAAGATGATTTCATACTGCTCAAAAAATCTGTGGCCTTCAACAAAAGTCTACAAAAGAGATGGGGAAATTATCATTTTACATAAACCTGCAAGTTAAAATATGCACCTCCGATTTAAATAAGTTAAACTCACAAGGTAGCTCTGCAGCAGGAGTTCAACTGACTCCCGTCGGCCATATTTTATGATCCAGGACTTGAGTTTTGCTTCAGCCAAAACAAGGAACGCCATCAATCGATACTTCATTTCCCAGAATTCTAGTTTAATCAAGTGAGAGTGCGATGATGTTGACACAAAGTTGAACCTGTAGAGAAAAGAGACATTAAAATTTAGTTCTTTCCTGAATTTTAAACACAAAACCCAAGGGTTAGTAGAGAGGAGAAATAGACCTTTCTGCCATGTCTTGGAGCTGTTCGGGTGGCACCGGTACCCCGTTTACTGATCTGTCTCTGTGGATCTGCATGAAAGTCTGTCTGTGCGATTCCAAGCTTTTTAAAACTTCCTGCAACAAAAAAATACAATTACCCTCACACTGATTTATCTAATTAACATGACGCTGAGGACAGATACTTTACCTTATGCTGCTCCAGTTTTCTGTGCAGAACGTTGGCCGTTTCTTCGTGAACATGTTGGAGGGGAATGTCCTCTCTCAAAGCCAACTCCGCTCTGTGAAGCCAGGCTCCCACCACCCCCAGGGGGCCAGGCAGGGACTTGTCCAGATGAATGTGCCAGTCCAACAGCTACAATTGACAGCCAATCAAAGAAAGATACTCAGCTATAGAAAGAACCATCAGCAGAGGAAGCTCTAAACACAGCAGTCCCTCAAATTCACAAGTAATTGTGCTACAACCACGTATTATGCCTCTCTAAATAATCTGTGGATGTCCAGAAAATAAAGTGTCTGGTGAACAAAACACACTCTGTTCTCTCACCCCCAGCCTGTGAACACAAAGCACCCTGTCACCCCACTAAACTTTATTAGAAGCATGGAATTGGAGATTTCTTTGAACAAAAAAAACAAAACTACTTACATTCCTATTTAATTTATATGATATTATAAAAAAAATTACATAATGTAAAAGTAGGAACCTTTGAAAGAAAAGCAAAAGTCTTTTCATAAAACTTGTATGTATATATAGGATTAAATAAGTTAAATTTTTCCCTAAAAGTTAGGAGAAAATATATAGATGGGGAGAATCTGGACCAGCTTGAGCAATTACACAGATTCTAAGGGAAAGTTTCCAATTTGGATTGGATTCAAAAATCTGCTACTAAACAGAAGATTTAATTAAACAGTAAATCTAAAGAAAAAGCTTTTTCATCTTGGACTATAGTTACCCGGGCAGAGACACGGTCCCAGGCCTGCTTGACCAGGGCCTGATCCACTGACAGCTTTCCTTCCTTATGAACAGGCTGGAGCAGCTGATCTGTCTGCTTTTTCTTCATTTCATACTGGACATGAAAGTTTTTGAATCCCTGCAAAACACAGACATAATGATTGGAACAATATTTCCTTGTTAAAATATTTATTTCTTTTCTACCCAAGACAAACTCACCTGGTATTTGTCAGTGAGGCTTCCCTCTGTGGCCTGGGCACGCAGCAAATCTCTCTCCAGCTGATCTACAAACACCTTCAGTTCCCTAAGCATCTTCCTCTCTTCCCTCTGTCACAAATAAGCAGCTTGTTTATGCAAAACTAAATCCAAAACCCATTTCCCCCTAATTAACATACCAATGGAACCCTCCCATGTTGTAATTTAAAAATGATAGATCAGATTAAAAAGACTACTTTAGAATAAACAGACTTGGACACAGAAGCGTTAAAAAGAGTAGTAGAAACAGAGAACTTTGATACTAGTATTGTATTCAAAGATATGATATAAAAGAAGAAAACTCCTGCTATTGTTTAAACATACCTCCAGCATCTGCTCTATATCTTGGGGAACAAACTTTCCAGGAAAGCATCAAGGCAAGCATGACAGAGAAATGCATTCACATCAAAAAGGCATCAGAATACCAAGGAAACAAAAGCAGAGTGAAAGGAAGGAAGAGATGGAAGAGGAGGGTGAACACACTCCAAACAGAAAGCATGCAGAACTCTGACCTGACACCTCACCTGAAGCACTGAAACTGACAATGCAAGAGTTGGAGGAGAGCCATGAAGCAGCTTGATGTGCAACAAATAAAAAAATAAAGTGGATGGAAAAAAACAACAAATAAATGTGTGATGATATAAAATAAAACATAAGAACTAATTTGTTTTCATGCACACCATTTCTATTAGAGATGCACTGAGAAATCAAATGGAAAGAAATGATTTTTAATGTCTTGAAAACTCCAACTTCCAGCTGAAAGTGTGGCGATAGGGGCGACCAGGTGAAGCTGACTCACACTCTCTTTGGTATTTGGTTAAAAGATTAAGTCAAATGATGGGATGCAGCTCTGGGAGACTTTTTGAAAGAAAAATATTTTCTATTTCTGGTTTGTATGGAACATGCTTGATTTATTAGCATCTTGCTGATAGTTCTAACAGTGAAACACCATCAGCCTTTGGAAAATCTCAGAGATGAGGTGAAGCTCTCTATCATGATTGGAAAACACACACTGTGTGATTGACTGGTTACTTTATAATGCTAATGCTGCTAAATGTGTTCATTGTTTACAGAAGAAGCTAAAGGAAGAAAAATTCTAGTTCAAAAATTTTTTGTTAGCTTTAGAACCATGTTTTAAGGCTGCTTCTCTCAGCAGCTAAAATAAACAGTTAAAGACACCTGTGTTAATAACTGTCCATACAGCCCAATTATGGCTGCGATCACAAGCGAAAGACCAAAGCCTTAAAAAAAGATCAGAGATTATCACAGATTTGTGACGGTGCATCTCTAAAGCCTGTAATTCAAAATCAAAGCTTTATTTATTGACATGTTTTACCACATACATTTTTGTAGTACTTAAGCTTTGTTTTTAATATTCTTTTTTTGTTTCTGCATTTTTTATTTTATTTTATTAGTTTTTTATTTTTTCCTACTTGCTTTGATTCTGTTTTATCTTCCTGTATTTTAATCATGTAAAGCACTTTGCATTGTCTTTGTACTGAATTGTGCTATACAAATAAATTTGCCTTGCCTTGCCTTGCCTTAAGTACCGAGCAGATAAAACAAGTGTTAATGCATGAGGGCCATTTATTTATTCATAAATATACCAAAGGGATCTATGGTTAAGCTTATCATAAGTAAGCATGCAGTAAACACAAACAGATACACTACCGTTCAAAAATGTGGGCTCACATTGACATGTCCTTATTTTTAAAGGAAAAGCACTGTACTTTTCAATGAAGATAACGTTAAACTAGTCTTAACTTCAAAGAAATACACTCTATACATTGCTAATGTGGTAAATGACTATTTTAGCTGCAAATATCTGGTTTTTGGTGCAATATCTACATAAGTGTAATTGAAGATTTCCTACAACGGTGTGTACTACTCCCTTCAGAGGACAGCACAAACAGGCTACTGCAGGTACTATTTAATGAAGATGCCAGTTGGGGACCTGTGAGGCGTCTGTTTCTCAAACTAGAGACTCTAATGTACTTATCTTCTTGCTCAGTTGTGCAACGCGGCCTCCCACTTCTTTTTCTACTCTGGTTAGAGCCTGCTTGTGCTGTCCTCTGAAGGGAGTAGTACACACCGCTGTAGGAAATCTTCAATTTCTTAGCAATTTCTTACATGGAATAGCCTTAATTTCTAAGAACAAGAATAGACTGTCCAGTTTCAGATGAAAGTTCTCTTTTTCTGGCCATTTTGAGCGTTTAATTGACCCCACAAATGTGATGCTCCAGAAACTCAATCTGCTCAAAGGAAGGTCAGTTTTGTAGCTTCTGTAACGAGCTAAACTGTTTTCAGATGTGTGAACATGATTGCACAAGGGTTTCCTAATCATCAATTAGCCTTCGGAGCCAATGAGCAAACAGATTGTACCAGTAGAACACTGGAGTGATAGTTGCTGGAAATGACAAAAACCAGACATTTGCAGCTAGAATAGTCATTTACCACATTAGCAATGTATAGAGTGTATTTCTTTAAAGTTAAAACTAGTTTAAAGTTATCTTCATTGAAAAGTACAGTGCTTTACCTTCAAAAATAAGGACATTTCAATTTGACCAAAAACTTTTGAACAGTAGTGTTACTGTAATTTAACAGTATTTATCCCTCAAAAAAACCAAGTTCACTTTGAACTGCGTGTAATAAGTTGATAAAATAATAATTACCTCATCCTGCTGTCCACCCCCCTCAGACTGTTTGGGGTTTGGGTAATGCTTGAGAAACTGAGCCACATATGTCATGATGGATTTTTCATCTGGCTTGTCAACATCCACATCTACAGAGATACAGTATTATTTTATCACTGCTTTAACAAGCCTGAAAGATGAAATGAAATTAACTGAAATTCATAATTTGATAAAATGAAAAGGAAAGATACACAACATGGTTATTATTATTACATCTAGTAGACTAAAAAGATATTTCTCAAGAGACTAAATCAGCCGAGGCTGTCAGCTATTTATACATCTCTCCTTTTATCCACAACGATGGCCTGGTATTACAAACCAGAGCCAAGATCCTGTAACTACATACATTTGTGTGCAGCTCTGTGTCAATTAAAGCATCTTCAATCTTCTCTGTAAGTAGAGCCAGAAATACAAAGTTTCTGCAGTCTCATTTCTCTGAAACCAAACTCTGAGCCATGAATGAAACATTGGTATTTTCAGCACTCACTGAATCAAGAACACTAATGTGAGAAGACGTTTGACACCGAAACCGTATATTACTGATACCTTACTTGGTGTAAAAAACACTGATAAGCATTGTTATTTAGAATAGTTAGACACAATGAAAATCATCATTCAAAAGCAAAAGAAAGACCTTCTGGATCCAGCAGGCGAGGAATGCCCAGCTCATTTTCCGCAAGTGAAAAAACCTCCTCTAAATTCTCCCGGTTCTTTCTCCGTCGCACCACTTCCATATCGACCAAATCAGGCCTGATGGCGTGAACTACGGCTTGAAACGCGACACCATCACGCCAGCTGGGTCCAAAGTCCTTCACCTCAATTCCAAATTCCCTGAAAAACACAATTGGGAGCCTCTCCATGTTGCTTGACTTTTACTGTGAACAAACACGAGGATCTTGTATAGAAACATACTTTTACTTGTAATTGTAATTACGTACTTGGCGGCGGTGCACTGCACCCATCTGAGCAGAGCCTTTTTAGCATTGCCCTGGAATTTGGTTACGACCTTCCTCTTCATGGGGGGGCTTCCTGTTTCACAGCTGGCTGTGCTGTCCACAGATGAGTTGCTGTTAGAAAGCGCCTGTAGAGCTGGCAGGTTGCTCGTTAACTCTTCAATCTAATGGAGAAACAAATAACAAAGCAAAACCAGGGAGGGTAAAAGGTCATGTTACGTTGATGCCATTTCTTGGCCCCCGATACCCGATACCCGATACCTGGCTGTGCAGTATTGGCTGATACGATACCATCAGTTTGAATTGTATAAATGAAGAACTGCATACTACTTGGATGTAAAATAATTGCCACCATGGTTTTTCAAGCTGTTGCCTACTTTTGTGAAGCAGGAAAAAGAATGATACAAAGTGAATCCAGTAGAACTTTACATTGCCTACCTAGAATGGGTGACAATAGTTAAACTTTTGCTCTCAAAATGGTACTTGTATTAGTTGGTACTTGCTCGATACTGGTATCGGTGCAACACTAGTAAAGGTCAGTAATATCTCTATCTATTTAATATCAACTCCACAAAAGGTAGACTGTCTGCAACCTTTCTCAAGCTGTGGAGAAAGCATGACCAGCGGGATGCCTTTAGTGGAAATTGAATATCAGTTATTTGTAAGTGAAGCATAATTGCACTGGTAGGATTAATAAGCTCAACAACTGATCTGTGTTTTGTAAAGCGAAAGTTACACTTACAGAGGTTGCAAAATTATGCAATTATTGAAAATATCATTAGGGAAGAAAAAAAACACAAATTCCATTCATACACTTAAAGAGTGCCTGACTTGTTTAGGACCATTCAACTCAACTTTTACACATTTTAAATTCTTAGTGAAACAGATCATTCAGCCAATCATGCAGTACCAACAGAGAAGGAAGTTTCTTTTTCTTTTTAAATTTGTTGTGCTGCTGTTTTGAAATTCCTGTTAGTGTGGGGTTAATTAAAGGAACTGAGGGGGTCTGAATCATGCCTTAAGCCTGGCATACATGCGCCAAACCGCAACTTTGCAAAAATTCCCAACGCTACTACATTCTTTTTACTAGTCCTCTTGGGGCACCAGAAGACTTTAGGCTGATTTATACTCAAACACCAGGTCGTCTGCGTGTGTCGCGGTAAACGCAAATGCACATCCGCCCCGTCTGCAGACACTCTGCTGCACCTCTCCCAAATTGTAGGCGAACGCAGACAGTGCCACTGAAAGGAGGCCTCTGATTGGTCAAATCTACATCCGCTCTACACTATCCGTATTTCCTCTTTGGTACCTTAGCGGCTTGTTTTGTTTGTATGACCGCCAATTGTGGAAAACGACTCGTGAACATGGACCAGCTGGAAGAGCGAGGTGCGCGAGAACGCTGGGACCCTTTTTCCACAGGGATCCCCACTCTTTTTGGCTCTCATGTCCTTCCGTTGTTGCATAAACAGTGGCGTTGGATGTAGGAGTTTTCCATGAAATCGAAGGGTTGACGGTTCAAGCCCCGACTCCGACTTTCAGTGTCGTTGTGTCCTTGGGCAAGACACTTCACCTGCATTGTCTACTGATGGTGGTCAGAGGGCCCGGTGGCGCCAGTATACGGCAGCCCCACTTCTGTCAGTGAGCCCCAGGACAGCTGTGGCTACAATGTAGCTTGCCACCATCAGTGTGTGCGTGTGAATGGGTGAATGAATGTAGTGTAAAGCGCTCTAAATGCAAAGTAGTCCCATACAGCAGACCTATAAAATGCTGCTGGCGCGTCTTCCAACTCCTGTTCTTTCCCACTCGCCATACCCACACAATTCTCCACAACAACTGATTTTTTTGTGCTACACCCGGCTACGCTGCTTCGCTTCTTCTTATTGTTTACCACTGGTGGTTGGCTTTGGTCGCAGTACCGCCACCTTCTGCTCTGGAGTGTAATCGCTTCACCTATGAGAAAAAGGAGCAGCGCATGAACGGAACGCAACACACGCGAACCGAACTGAGACAATCGAACTGAACGGTTCGGACGGTTTTCATTAACCGTTCCATCCCTATGCAGGGCGATAACCAGCCCTTAAATGGGTTGTGCAGTTGGTGCCCATTACACTAAATGACAACAGATTGATGATTTAAAAATCAAAACAAGGGATTTTATTTTATAAATTCTTCCCAATTAAACATTCTCTTTAAAATAAGGTCAGGTCCAAAGGAGAAAGACCCACTTTGGAGTAAAACCATAATCGGTCACAAGATACAATCAGAATCTTTAAATGCATTACCTGAAAGTAGAGGATAATAGTCCACATCAAACCAAGGACAATTGATGGCCGTCCATCTGCGATGTCAGTGGCATGAATATTGACCAGTTTAATCTGAGAACAAAAAAAAATGTAATTCGTCTTCCGACCATTTGGGGAGAAACCCACAAAAATTCACACATACATTTTACGTGGTTTTTATATAGTGCAAAAACAGTGATGCAGGTCATCAAAGTCGAGCCTTTGATGCAGAGAAGTCATTGTAAGAGGCAGAAGCGAGGGTGGAAGGACAACCAGCTACAAAAGAAAATAAATAAAACAAAAACAGATGCACTACTGTATTTGCATATATTTCTTTGTAGAGCAGCAAAAATTGATGAATTTAAATGTCTATGCTGGGGAAGCTAAACTGCAGCACAGAGCATACACTAGTTTTGTCTACTCAAAAATGCAGACTATTAGAAATAATTACTGCCTTAATGTATCAGTAGAACAGCTCTGTCCCAGTTTGGCATCATATACCACATGCATTTGATGAAAAAAAAAATGCATACAGCATTGCATATGATAGCACAAGTGTTTAAAAGCAACTGACCGGTGATCCTCGATACACAGACTGAAAGCAAACATGATGAGAGAGAGATTACAACATAAGTCTCAGTCCTCAGGGAACCCATTTGAAGTAGGGCAGGAGGTTTACGGATGGGCTATGTAATAATGACTAACTGTCATGCCTCTGTGAACAAAGTGAATGCTTTGCAGAAAGATACACTATATGCTTCATAACTATACAATAAACATTCAGCTTTCTCAAGAGCTCTTAATGATTTCTATGGGAAAAAAATCTACATTAGTTTCTAGTAAGATATGGAGAAGGGATACTTTTATTTTTAAAGTGCTCAAATTTTTCTATGTTAATACTACAACAAAAGAAGACATGAAAGACTATTTAAAAGAGGCACCAGCAGCTGAAACCCCAATTAGGGATGCACGATATAATCGGCCCCCTATCTGTATCGGCCTTAAAACTGAATATCGGGCATCGGCCACCCCACCGATATTTAACGCGATATTTGATCAGCTTCTGAGTTTCTAAGGTCTAAAAAAAAAAAAAAAAACACTACTACTTCTTCCTCAAAAACTTCTTTTTTACAGACTTAAAAACTTATAAAGATGAGGGAAAAAATATTGATACATTAAAATATCCCAATATCTTCATATGCTGATATATTGCCATTTAAAAACACCATATCAATCTCTTTTACTAATGAAATATTGCTATATGTCATCGTTATGCTACGAAATCCCCCGAAAATTCACGAAATGTTGCCATATTTTTATATGTTGATATATTGACGCGGTATCGATCTATTTTACTAACACAATGTCACAAGAATTTGCAAAATATCACGAGAGTTTGTAACAGAACGATGAAATTTCACAAGATTTTGAAAGTAAAATAGATCGATACCGCGTTTTTAAAAATCTATTTGATATCAGCATATGAAAATATATTTGAGTATATTATTTTTCAAAGTGTCAGAAATGGATAACAATACTGCTATTTTCAATGACTACTTATTTTTGTCCAGCTTTAACATGGGTATCATATCGGTTATCGGCTACATGAGTTTTAAAATATCGGCACATCGGATATCGGCCAAAATCCCAATATCGTGCATCCCTAACCCCAATAGTTTATTTCTATACTTTGCATATATTCAACTTAGTGAAACTTTTGGGAAGCCTTTAGGATATGATTGCCACCATGTCACCTACAACAGCATCGGGTGTTCTACACTTTTTTAAGCCATGGTTTTTGTTGTGGCCATTGTTAGTGTGGAGGAAAGGCTGAAAACTAGTGATTCTTCATATTAGTAAAATGTGGGGCATGGCGAAGTTTGATATATAACGTTATTTTTGGATCCTATTAATTTGCTAGGCTGGGAAACAGTGACAGAGAACGAGACTTTCACCAGAAATCGGGTGGCTGAAGAAAGTGCAGCAAACTTTGATCCATTGTTAATCAAGCTGGATTAACAAGATGGTTAGTGTGCACCGTAGTGCGGCTCTAAATGTTGAAATGATACATGGTTTCATTTTTCAGTTAGTACCGTTGCTTTCACAGCAGTTTTTTCTCAAAGCTTTTGGTAGAAAATAGGATCTATGTGGGCGTTTCTCTGCTGGATAATTGCTTCGTGATAAAAATCTTCTGACCAGAATTCTATCAGACACCGTTTTTCTTTTGAGGCCTTAGTCTGTCCACATCAAGTTTCCATCTCTCCTCTTTTTTTCTGTTGTGAATATTTCCCAGCCAGCCTACAATGCACTGTTAAGGAGATTACGGGATCCCTTTTAGCTCAAACTTGTTGAGTTTGCCTTGCAGTTGGGTCGCATCAGAGAGCGGTTCTTTTCAGATATCAACTAGTGAGCACCAGAATTCGCCCGGAGGCAAAACTCGACCTCCTCTTCAGCCACACTAGATCGGTGCACATTAGTCGGATTGTGCTTTCACTCTGACCCAATCGGGACTAAATTTAGGTAGAGCTAAATTTAGATGGACCTAAAGTTGCAGGTAGGAAAAGACAAATAGTTAAACCTTAGTTTATCTAAGGTTTAACTCTTTGGGTTTTCCCACCTGCGACTTAGTTAAACCTTAGTTTAACTAAGGTTTAACTCAGGATGTAAGTGCTGTTGAATTCTTGTTAAAATTAATCATTCATAATTTATGTTGTTGTTTAGGTAACAACTTTAAATGAGTAAATTCATGGCATGTTATAAGATAAAATACGGGTTAATTTTATAATTTATTTAATAAGTTTGCTCTTTTCTGCACTGTTATGTTTAGCCAGGAACCAATGTTCATACTTGTGTACTACTACATTAAAATTAATAGATGCTACACTATGAAGCTAGATTACAAAGTCTGATGCAAGCGTGTAAAGAACCTCTCTTCATGACAAGCGGCTAATGAGGTATTATTATTTGTTTTATTGATAAATCTGTTTATACTTATGCAGCGCAGCATCCTGCTCTTATTTGTACTTGTACACTCGGTTTGAGCTGATATATGTCTATTTGTGTCTGTACAGTTCTCACGGCATAAAAGTATGAACGTCATAAAGAACCTAAATGGAGTTTCATGTTGAACGACATGAGAGAAAAGACGAAATAAATGCCAGTTAAAGAGAAACCGATCCGTGTCTGTCGTGACAAGAGCTACACAGGATCACCTATTTCTACAAAAAACACAAAAAGTCCTCTTTGCCTAATACTAGTTACATCAAGATGTAAGGATGGGACAATTGACTTTAAGTACAATATAATCACAATTGAATTAAATGCTATTTTCAACCTGAAAAGGCTTCCTTTAGGCCATTTTACAAGACTGACTTTCATAGTGGGGCCCTTTAGGTGCAGTAGTGTTGGCCTAGTGGTTAGAGCAGTGTGTACGTCCTCTGAGAAGTTTGCAAGTACCCGGTTCCACAGCCTCACAGCCTCCACTCTGGGTCCCTGAACAAACCCTTTACCCCACACTGCTCCCCAGGCGCCACACAATGGCAGCCCACTGCTCCCCAATGGAATGGGTTAAATGCAAAGAGTGAAAATCCCCAATGTGGGAAAATGAAGGGATTTACACTTGAATTGGGTTTACCACCACTTAGGAGAAGAGAGAGCTGCAGCTGGGGCAAAGATCAATGCATGCCAGTAGAAGTAAGCATTTTTCCACAAAAGAGTAACAGTAAAACAGTGGAGCATGGAAAAACAAGCCTTCTAGATCTAGATCAGGGAAGGTGGTGCTTGTGGTAAGTGCCAAGGAAAAACAAAATAAAATTAGAAACATAATATTAATTGAAGAAAATCTTGAGTGATTGATTTAGCCAGGTTAAGATGCTAAAGTCTGCATCTCATATATCAGTGTTTTTTTTAACTGCTCATGTAAGAAAGGCTGGAATAAAATACTTTAAATGTTATTTTTACATCCTATTAGATAACAGTTCCTATAAAAATTGGATCCAGTTCAAAGTGTCCCTGCAAGGTAGAAGTTAGAGGCAAACTTCACATCATCAATCTGCCCAAAATTTTGATCAATACCAAAATAAGCAACTTATAGAGACATGGTGGAGTTTTCTAATGATACTGCCACCTGTGGTCAAAACATAAAACTGCAGCACTCTTCTGCTCGTTCTCATAGCGGAGTCGTACTTGACAAGTTTTTTTGTTTTACTATTTTACCTTGTGTGGTGTTGCCATTAGGGCTGCAACTAGCGATTACTTTGCAAATCGATTATTCAATTAATTAAGCCTAAGGTTCCTTAAAGAAGACTTTTTACTAAATTAAACATGGTGAAACTAAAACTTTTCCAGTTGAGGAGTTTTGGATAGACCATATTGACAAACAAAAACTTTCTTTTTTTTACTTTAAATGCAAATTGTTAACATTTGTTTTTACAATTTTGGTATAACTGCTGCTCAAGGTGGGTTGCTCTGTCAGCTAACAATTAATCGATTACAAAATTAGTTGACGATTACTTCAATTAATCACGATTAATCGTTTTAGCCCTAGTTTCCATCAATGTCTGAGTTGAGTCTGATGCCGGTCAGTTCAGAATATCCACATAATCCATCTTCAATATCCTATCTCCGGATGTGACGTCAAGCGCACTCACTTAACATGAATGCGCTTGACGTCACATCCGGAGAACAGTGCAGGCACTTCCGACCCAAAGTAAATTCAGCAAAATAGTTTACTGCAAAGACTCCTGCAATGTTGTGCTTTGGTGGTGCGCTGGTTAGCGCACACGATCCATCTACAGAGGCCTTAACCCTCGACGGGGCTGACCTGGGTTCGAATCTGATCTGTTAAGTAATTTCCCTCTGGGATTATTAAAGTATTATTGATTCTGGTTCTGAATGTTTAGGTACTGAATAAACCCTTAACATTAATAAATGACTTATAATATTAGGGATTCAAAAGAGCTGTCAGGATAAACATTAAAGGAGGTAGATCTCTTCTGATTTAGAAAACTAGATGTTAGGGAGGCAAAAGCATTAATTAGTGTATGTTTAGTTTTATTAGCAGATAAAGAAAATGGCCTAATTTGTCTAGCCTCCAACAAAGAGCATAAATGAGTGCTGGGCATTTATTGCTATTACCTTAGGTTTCTAAGCAGAAATACTTATTCTTTTTTTCCAGATAAAACTTTCTATTTTATCAAAAAGTACAGAGCAAAAAAAAAATTGAATGTTTATTATGATTTCATGCTCACCTTTCTGCCTTCGAGGAATTTGAGCGCAGTACCGATGTTGGAAACCCAGTGTATCCTTTTCAGCTGTCGGCCTTGCTCACAGGGCTGAACACCAGGAGGAAAGAAATATGAGAAAAATAAGCAAACCACACACAAAAAAAATGCTTTAGTTGGTTCACTATGTTTCTGTTATACAGTAAGTTTCAAATGTACGCTTCATACAGACAGTTCAGTTTTGCAATACTTGGGACATTTTTCTACTAATGCCTGAGAGATAAAGTAAATCGAGCTGGCTATTTATGGATTTCATACAGTATAATTGGCACATAGTAGCTCGTCATGACATAAGGGAATTGGTCTTAGCAAGTCTATTTTTATCTAAAATAACTCATAAGAACACACCATTGTCAGCAAACAATACTTAGAAGTCCATAGAAATGAGTTATACATGTATTTTAGCATACTATTCTAAACATTAGCTAACTTGACTTCGACTTCCTTTATTGTCATTGCACAAAAAAACACAAGGTGAATCTTAACAACAAAATGTTGATTACTTGGCTACCAGTGTAACAGAACTAAGACCTTATTCCTGCAAAATAAATTTTTTTTCTATAAGTAAGAGCTAGTTATACACAGGGTAAAGAGTATATATATACATATATATTTTGCACTGAGTTATTTTTATTTTTTATTTAACCTTTATTTATCCAGGAAGTGCCTTGAGATTGAAATCTCTTTTTCGAGGGAGACCTAGCCAAGACAGCACACCAGTTAAAATACAAACAGAAATACAACATAGACAAAATCTCACATAGAGGAAAAGACAGGTCACATAGGGCAGTTACATTTTTGAATAACATGACATTTTAACATGGCCTTAAATTCATTCAATGGGACTAGATCATTTAAATGGAGCAAGTTTGGCAAATTATTCCAGGACCATGGAGCAAAGTAAGAGAAGGATTTCTTCCCCAGCTCAGTAAAAACCATTGAAACCTGGTAAGAGCGCCACCTGGTGGAACGGAGATGAAAATGGCTGGAATTTAGCTTGAGGAGATTGCATAAATATGCCGGCAGTTTACCCAACATGGCCTTGTATAGAAAAATATACAAATGAAGTTGTCTACGTGGACTTAGTGACGGCCAGCCTACCAGTTCATACAGCGTACAATGATGAGTACGGGAATAGGAGTTAGTTAAGAAGCGCAAAGCACTATGGTACACAGAATCTAACAGGTGGAGAGTACTAGAGGCAGCATGCATGTAGACAACATCACCATAGTCCAAAACACTTAAAAAAGTAGATTATTGAAGAAGTAACATCAATAAATAAATATTGCACTGAGTTATTGAATATTGAATATAACTCCTGATGGCCTTTGTTTTAAAAATACATAAATAAAAAAATATTCACAATATTCACACAAACCATGAGTAGGAAAAAAAGAGGCATTAAGGCTTGGTATAAAAACAGAAATGTAGTTTCTTCAAAAAAGACAAGCCTAGTGTTTTTAACCCTTGCTTGCAGAAAAAACTGTTAGCAAGGATCAAGCAACACAAAAAAATAGATCCTGTCACAAAGGAAACGATTATTTTTTACAGCTTCCAAAGTGTCTCATAGGATTTGTAACACTGGTAATACTGTGTGGCGAAGCGTCCACAAAGTCACATAAAAATAAACCCCTAAGCCTCCCCATAGATTCACAGATAACAATGGGAGTTTGGATTAAAAAAAGTGTGAATGTCTAGAAATTTGCTTCAAACTGTTAGCGTGCAATCGTGTCTCTGGGGGTGTGTTTTCTTTCTGTCAGAAAGATGAAAAGTAAGATTAGATGTCTTGTGGTAAGAGCCTCTCACAGCAGAGGATCAGAACTACTTTTTTTCTATAGCAACTTTGAACAAAACACAGAAAACGTTGAATCATTGTTTACATTTTGAGTTAGTTAGAAGAGCAATCATACCTGGACGTCTGACTCATTAAAAGCCTCAAAAGAAATGTCTGATTTTTAACTTGATCAACCTCAATAGTGAGCTGACTGGCAGAACTAAACATTCAATCTATTAGGGACTACTAAATGTGACAACAACCCTCTTTGGTCTGGCTGCTGGTACTAAAGTAAGCAGACTGTTAGACTCAGGATCAGTGAGTGTTTTAAATTAAGATGGGAAACACAGAGCGACGCATATCTGCATTTCAATTAAACTAATAGACAGGATGCGATCTCTGCAGCTAACAGGAAGGCAGTTTTTATGCCTCTGGTGGCTCGTTTTTCTGACAGTAGACTGACAGGAAAGGAGGTATGAGAGAAGGGGAGATAAATGCGGCAAAGGACCACAGGCTGGAATCAAACCCGGGTTGGCCGCGTTGAGGACTAAGGCCTCTGTACATGGGTAGTGCACACTAACCACTGCGCCACCAAAGCTGATTTTAATTCCATCAGAGGTTTCTACATCTATCTAAAACATCCTGACTTTGGAAATGTTGGCAACATTTGGATCTCCTAAAAAGAAGGTAAAAATGTGTTGAATATGTTCTGTTTTTATATTAAAACTAATAAATGATACAAAATCCAGTCTAAAAGCGTAGAATTGTGTCTTCAACTCTGTTCCTAATAATAAAAAAAATGCTAACTTTATACAGTCATCAGTAACAGCTATAAAGTTACAGTTTAATAGCTGTGTGGAAATTATTACTGGTCTCTATCACTTTCTGTTTCCTTATTAGTATAAACTAAAGAATGAAAAAACATTTGAATCCACATTTGAATCCACGTTGTCTATCAGAATTTCTAGACGGGGCCGCCTTTTGCAGCTGCTTTTTGTATCTATGCTTCTTTTTCTATGTCTGCTTCTGTCTCCTTGAACCCCAGTCGGCCTCAGCAGATGGCCGCTCACACTGAGCCTGGTTCTGCAGGAGGTTTCTTCCTGTTAAAAGGGAGTTTTTCCTCTCCACTGTCGCTACAAGCATGCTTAGTGTGAGGGATTGCTGAAGAGTCAATGAGTCGATGCAATCAGCTGGTTTTCCTTAGATAGAAAACTTTGAATCAATCTGACTGGATGATCTGGTTGAACTGTAAAGTGCCTTGAGATGACATGTGTTGTGAATTTGGCGCTATAGAAATAAACTGAATTGAAACTAAATTGAATTTAGGTTTTACACCATTTAATATTATTGTAATATTAAGCTAGAATGACCTTAATTTAAAGATTTATAACAATACATACATATTTGACGATACACAGTTGAAAGAAATATTTCAGTCTATATAAAATAATTTCTTATTGACTTCTACACTAGAAAAATAAAGTGTTTACCAGTCTTTGGCCAGACAGGACTTCCAACAGCGCCAGCAGCTTCACCCCATCTTTGATGTCCTCAAAAAGATCATTTACCTCCAGAGGTGGTTTATGCTGGCAGAGAGAAGAGAGAACAAACAATATATAAACAGTTAGGATGTTTAAGAGTTCACTGACGCTAAGAGCTGAAAAGAAATGCTTGTACACTGGGGTAAAGGATTTGCATTCTAGCCCATTACCAGGGATGAACAGGAACCAAATGCTGCTGGTGAGAAACAGACTTGTTAGCAGCAGCCGCTGAGGCTCCCTGCAGCTGAAAAGATGGTGCTTTTCTTTCCCAGCAGTGGCGTGGTGCCCAGTCCTGAGGCTATGGCATTCATTTAACCCTAACAGGACCGAGTCTCCTCAGATCACCTTATTTACACATTTAATGTGTCCCCCAACCTTACCTAAAAGTGACATAAAAATCTTATGTCCCAAAAAAATAAAATAAAAAATTTGTTCTTAGAGACAGTATTTAATTAAAGGGAAAACTGCCCGTGGGAATACTTTTTTTGGCAGGTTATTCAGGCCATTTCACAACTCGGCACACTCCATGACAGAATTACAATTGGCTGCCTGTTTGGGGCAAAGCGGTCTGGAGTCCTTTACAATGAGCTGCTTTTTTTTCTTGGGACCCTCAAACTTTCCGGTAATATCTGCACATACAACGCCATGTAAATGTATTCAAAGAAGCAGACCTACTCAGGTATAACCATCTGGCTGATTGTTATCTTGCCAAATATGTCCAAATAATATCAAGAGCGAGAACTTTCCTCAGTGATCTGACATAAATACAGCCCACATACATGTGACCTGTAGAAATATAACTGCTCTGTGAAGCTCAGAGCTTTTATATGCTCCATTTGGGCCTGATTTATTAGGGTCGGGTTAGGTCAGTTTAACATGATGCATTTTCCATGGCAATTGGGTAAAATCTAAAAGGGGGTTCAGGATAGCTAGGTGGTACTCTGACATGGTGTGATTTTTAAGGACAAACAACACAAAAGTAACAACTCAGTCTGTGTTTATCAATGTTTTTAGACTTAGAGAGCTTAAGGAAGGCGTTATGCAGACACGGAAAAAGGCTGATTAATACTCAGAAACCAGGTCGTCTGCCTCCCCAGTGTCTGCGGAAGGGGAAAGTCTGCACCTCTCCAAAATTGTAGGCGACCGCAGACAGGAGGCCTCTGATTGCTCAAATCTACATCCGCTCTAGTCTATCCATATTTCCTTGGTTCCTTACTGGCTTGTTTTGTTTGTATGACCGCCATTGTGGAAAACGACTAGTGAAGATGGACCAGCTGGAAGAGCAAGGTACGCGAGAACGCTCTTTTTCGCCTTCATGTCCATCTGTTGTCACACAAACTTCCCCCACTTCCTCACCGCCTCGGCCGTATCTAGACCCACAGCTAGTTCGTGACTGTCCCTCCTGCGTTGTGGCGTAGAATAACATAGCATAGACCACGCTTCAATATTGGGCATAAATCAAAAATATCTGCGACAAGCTCACTGCGACACGATGCTGCAGGAGGATAACCAGCCCTTTAGTGAGGAGAGAAACAGGAAAGACAAGTGGAATCGTGGTTAGGGGATGGAGCTTGGAATCCTGAGGTTCTGTGTTCGATCCCCACTCCCACAGACTGCCACTCTGGGTCTCTGAGCAAGACCCTTAACTCCACACTGCTCCCTGGGGGCCACACAATAGCAGCCCACTGCTCTCCAAGGGGTTGGGTTAAATGTAGAGGTGAGTATTGGCATGAGTGTTGCGATTCGATACATGTCGCGATACTTGGGTCACGATACGATATTATCAAGACATTGCAGTATCACTATATATTGCCATATTTTCCCCAGCTGTCAAAATCAAATGATGAGATAAAACAGCAAGTGCTGTATATTTTCATCAGAAAATATTGATTAGGTATTATTGTCCATGTTGTTTGGGGTTTTCTTCAACTGTGACTGCCTGAAATACAGATTTGGTGCTGCACGCACAGTTAAAGGGCTCCACAGCGCTTTCTGCCAGAGTGGTGGTGCAGAGGTAGCCCATTTTCCCATCAATGTTTTATGTAACCATTTTTTTTTTTTTTTATCGATACTAAGAAGTGAAAGATTGATATTATATTGGGCAGCAGAATATCACGATATATCGCCAAAACGATTATTTCCCACACCCCTAGTTAAATGCAGAGGTAAATATCTCCAATGAGATCAATAAAGTTCAATTATTATTATTATTATTGAACCAAGACACGAGGAAATGTGGAGGAAAGGTAAAGCTACCTAATGCTAGCTTTCAATAATAGTGTCTAATATGCAATGATCCCAGGGTAACGGGATTTTAATAACTGAAGAAGACTTATTGAAATCCGCTGGGACTAGTAACGCTGTACCCTACAGCAGTGTTTCCTAACCAAGGGTACGCGTACCCCTAGTGGTCAACTGGTACATTGCAAGTGACACACGAAATTTTTTTATTTCTTTAGGTAGTAAAATTAAATAGGGCTGGGATCTATTTTGCTTTCTGAGGACCCAGTTGAAAAATTAAACAAGTAAGTAATAAGTCTTTCTTTGAATTCACCTTCAGCTTTGACACATCAAAACCAAGCAGAGGAACAGACTGGATGTAGAGAACAGCCTGGGATCAGCTGTTTTTTTCACACTGAGCTACCGGAGCTCATCAAAGCAGCTCAAGCGCCGTGATAGAAACAGAGTAAAACTAATTAAGTCAGTCTGAATATAATTTCTGTTCTGTATTTTGTTCCCAATTCATCAAGTTTAAATGTGATTATAGGGGACTATAAATAAAGGTTTAGAATATGATTTTATTTTGTATTTATTTTGACTATTCCTTACTAACTTCTAGGCAACATATTTATGTAGTTTTTTTTATTTGAGATGGAAAGTATAATGAAATGGAAATGTTCATTTCACTGCTAAGCTGGTGCTCATTTATTGTCTGAAAGCTGTAAAAAACAAAATTTTGAATTGTATACAATGTGTATACAAAATGACAATAAACGTTGTCTAAGTCATAAAATGCCTAAGATCTAAATGCTCAAATTAAAAGATTAAGTAAAATTGTTTTTATTTTCTAATAAATTATTGTACATCAATACTTTGACTGAAATGGGTACGGTACTCATGGTAAGAAAAAAAAAGTCCAAAGGGGTACAAAAGTCAGAAAAGGGTGGGAAACACTGCCCTACAGCTGGAACGGCAAAAAAGAAAAGCTAAAAAAAAGTGAAAAAGATCTTGTTCTACAGGAAATTAGGAAACTCCTCAGAGAAGTCAGAAAAAAAGCCAATGAGAAGTTATCAACATTAGCCTATAAAACCATATCTCAATCTTTCAAACTGAGCAAGGAGCACCACCGAATCCATCATCCAAAGAGGCTGACATCACTTCATACAGTGCAAAACAGTGTAGAGGTCACGTTAATCTGAAGAAATGCTGCTCTAGTCTGTTGAACAGACTACTGTGCTTTTAGTTGGGTGTTGTATGAACCTAGATAAAGAAACAATTACAAGAATGCAGCCATTGTTGAGAAAAGGCCATCAGATATAATGTTCAGAAGTTTACAAAAGTCAATGCATGTGTTTTTACTAGGGATGCGATATAATCGGCCCCCTATCGGTATCAGCCTGTATCGGCCTTAAAACTGAATATCGGACATCGGCCACCCCACCGATACTTAACCCGATATTTGATCAGCTTCTGAGTTTCTAAAGTCTAAAAAAAATAAAAAAATAAATACTACTTCTTCTTCTTCCTCAAAAACTTCTTTTTTACAGACTTAAAAACTTCTAAAGACGAGGGAAAAAACATTGATACATTAAAATATCACAATATCTTCATATGCTGATATATTGCCATTTAAAAACACCATATCAATCTCTTTTACCAATGAAATATTGCTATATGTCATCGTTATGCTACGAAATCCCCCGAAAATTCACGAAATGTTGCCATATTTTTATATGTTGATATATTGACGCGGTATCGATCTATTTTACTAACAAAATCTCACAAGAATTTGCAAAATATCACGAGAGTTTGTAACAGAACGATGAAATTTCACGAGATTTTGAAAGTAAAATAGATCGATACCGCGTTTTTAAAAATCAATTTGATATCAGCATATGAAAATATATTTGAGTATATTATTTTTCAAAGTGTTAGAAATGGATAACAAAACTGCTATTTTCAATGACTACTTATTTTTGTCCAGCTTTAACATCGGTATCGGTTATCGGCTACATGAGTTTTAAAATATCGGCATATCGGATATCGGCCAAAATCCTAATATCGTCCATCCCTAGTTTTTACAACATAACCCTCTAGATCCAGGGTTTTTTCTGGAGCTGTTTTTTCCCCCCACTGCAGTTCTCTTGCATGAACCAGGGCAAAAGCAGCCTAAAGAGGAAAGAAATGTACTTATAAAGCAATCCTCATAGAGAGGCAGGAGTAGGTAGGAATATTTTGGATGAGCCTGAATTAGAGGAGGAGCTTCTTATTGGGAGGGATGCTGTGCATGTCTTACTAGTCGACTACACCACACATTGTTATTAAAGCCATCTCTTATTCTATACTCTGAAGGTAATTTTTCTGATTAACAACAGACAACAGAAGTTTTGTAATTTCATCTGAAAAACATAACACATAAAACCATTTACCTATGCTAAATATAACAGAGGGTTTCTTTTCTGCTTTAGTGGAAAAATTTTAATCCATCACACTTAAAATCAGGGATTAAAAATATCAACATCGAATAAAATTTCGAAAAAGTTTGAAAATTATATTCTATTTTAGGTTGGCTCACAAAGACCTGATAACCTGGGTTTGTAACTCTGATGTGACAAAATGTGGACAAGTCTAAGAGCTATAAATACTGTATCTGCACAAAAATAGTCCAGTGAAGAAAATTCCCAACCTGGAAACCTGATTTTCTCAGTCACATGATACCCATGTCTGTGGAAAAAAAACATGAAACTCCCTGGAAAAAAGTGCTGCTTTATCGAATACTGCAGGAAGTGGACACAAAGGCTAAAGGCAAAGCATAACAGCTGTAGGAAGTAACTCAGATAAAGTCCATTTTCTGTTAAAAAAGAAAAAAAAAGGTCTACAAAAACCCGTTTCATCCTAAACTGTTAACATTTCACATTATACAAAAACTGTCACTACTAATGTCCTGTCAGGCAGAAACTCAGGAGACATCTGCTGCATGGACCTAACCCCAAACCCCCTCATCAGTTAGCCTATATTACATTACCTCTATTAGTATGCAGTTAGTGAGCTAAATCGTAGCGTATAAATAATGGAGAACGGACCAGCAGCAGCGTGTATCCCAGCACTGTAACTCTACATAACATAACTGATTATCAACTCACCAGGAGATGATTCTAGGATTTGTATTTTCAATGCTCTGCAAGACAATACTGCATCTAATCTAACTATTGATAACAAAACATATAAGCATGTGTTTTGGCTGCGAACAGAGAGCCTGTTAATTTAGAAGCACGAAACTCAGAAGCAGACGACTGCCTACAGGGAACTGTCCTCACCCTCTTGTTGTCCATCTGGACACCACATTACTGTCCCTGCCAATGAACGCCACAAACACACACACACACAGGCACGATGAGCACGAACGCTACTGCAAATATCTGCCCACTCCAATACAGATTCATACAGCACAAACACAAACCACTCTCTGAATAATTCCAATAAATACCCCACATGTCTGCACAAACACACTCCACTAGATGTATGCAGGCTTTTGTCAGTTTAAATCGCCCTTGAGAGAATCTTGAAAGCTGAACAAATGGGCTTTGCCATTTCATGCCAAAACCCTTCAGTAGGAATATTGTCCTGGATCATTTTTTTTTATTTTCACTTCACCAAGCTTTGATAACAAACATCGGGTTCCACTGAACCTGATTTGATTTTAACAATTAGGAAATTAGGGTTATTACTGTAATCATACTTAAATGAATAATCTAAGGGATTCCAAACAAAATGAAGAAAGATAAGCTCTCAAAATATTCCAAATGATAAAAGTTGTTAACATCTCACAAGATTTCCGATCAGGATAGGACAAAAGTGCAGTGTGCTATAGGAAGCAGTTCACACTTACCTTTGCTAAATGAGAATTGATCCATTTTGTGAAGGTTCTCTTCTGTACTGCTTCTTGTTCATCTAAAGAATGAAAAACAGAAAGTTAAATTAAAAATGTGGAAGCTTCAAAAGAAGATCTGATTGATCTATTTCAACACAGTAACAGGTGACTTTCCTATAGAGCGGGCACCCGACATCAGAGATAAAAAATAACTGACCGGTTAAATTTCAATTTAATTCAATTCAGTTTATTTCTATAGCGCCAAATTCACAACACATGTCATCTCAAGGCACTTTCCAGTTCACCAGATCATATAGTCAAATTGATACAAAGTTTTCTATCTAAGGAAAACCAGTTGATTGCATTGACTCCAATACAATCCCTCACACTAAGCATGCTTGTAGCGACAGTGGAGAGGAAAAACTCCCTTTTAACAGGAAGAAACCTCCAGCAGAACCAGGCTCAGTGTGAGCGGCCATCTGCTGAGGCCGACTGGGGTTCAAGGAGACAGAAGCAGAGACACAAAAAGCAGCTGTAAAAGGCGGCCCCGTCCAGGAAACACACAGCCAGACAGACGAGCTCCGAGCCAGCTCCCATGTCAGAGGATGAAGAGAGCACATCCAGTTAGTCACGGTCAGAGAAACAGGATCACACTGGAAAACAGGCCGATCTCCAGCATCTATAAACAAGGGTGTTGATGGAAGCAGCACAGCTGATGTTTCTCTCCAGGATGGAGTCACAGCCAAACAGGAACAGACGAGGCAAAGCTACTCTGATCCATTTAATTGTATAGATGATGGTTTAAACTGACTTTAAACAAAGTGCATCTGTGAACTATTCATACCTTAAATTTGCAACCAGAAATCCAAAACATTTAAGTGGTATTTAATGTGATGAACCAGAACTATGTGCCTCACAGTAGTGAACTGAAAGAAAAATTATTCTTAATGTAGCATATTTAGAAAGTGTAGATATGGAACTTGATTGTGAAGCTGCATGGTGAAACAGTTTATAGCACTAGGGTCTTGCTGCGTGGTGTAAGCATGTTCTCCCTATGCATGCGTGGGTTCTCTCCTGGTACTCCGGCATCCTCCCATAGTCCAAAAAACGTAATTGGCATCTCTAAATGTAACTTAGGTATATGTCTCTATGTTGCCCTGCGACAGACTGGAAACCTGTCCAGGGGGCCCCCCTGCCTTTCACCCATACACGACTGCAGATACGCTCCAGCCCCACCCAGACAGGAGAAGACGAATGGATGGATCTTGAATTTTCAAGGTAAGTCTTTTAGGGCTGTGCTGCATGTTGCAGATTTATTGTCACTGAATTACCAGTAAGCAAATCATTAATTTTGCAACCTCCTTAAGTTGTGATCATAATCATAAAATCATATAAACGCAGTGCTACTCACTAGCTGCAGTGGGTTGCTGCAATAAAGTTATATGGTCACTGTATTGTTTGTTTCTGCATAGATTTAATATGGAGTCACATAATCCCAGAGAAGCACTGAAATGATCAGGTCAGATACTCTGTTTTTATTGTTTTCATGTTTACTGTTTGTATGTGGTATTGCATTTACTTCATTCCTGCTGCTTGTTCAGCTTAGAAGCACTTTAGTGACTCTGAACAAATTTTTTCTGATTATCTTCAGAAGGAGCTTTGGAAATCAGAAAAGGAAAGTTCAGTATCTGCTGCAAAATAGCTAACGCTCAGTCAGAGCAGATGGACAGGATTCATTTTTAAGAACTACAAACTACAACTAAATCTTGTTGATTTAGGTCTGGACTTTGACTGGACCACTCTAATATGCCTTCTCTAAATCTGGGGTCTGTAACAGTAGTACTTTAATGCCTGTGTCCTGCAACTTCTGGATATGTCACTGAAACTAAATAGAAATTAAATTCTGAAATTTCTTTCTACTTTCATCATTTTAACAAGTGTAGAAAACATAAACTTTTGGGGGAGTCAGGTTAGTGTTCACTGTTTATGTTATGACCTTTCAGCTGATATTATTTCACATTTTAGTTTACTTACAATTATTTGGAACATGTTTTAAAATAGCAAGTTTGTTAGTAAAAATTCAGCCGCAATAGTTTCACCTTACCACAGTAACCCGTGTTTATAGGTTCTTCGTCCCAGCTACAATGGTAGAGATTGGAATATATCAACTTTTTAGCACTTTTTTGGTTGAGTAATAAACATTGAAACGTTAAATGACACCCTCAGATATATAATGTATAAAAAGTATTTACTATATAAAATGATCAAATTTTTGTCCATAAATCTATGACAGTTACAGGTAGAAACCCACAAACAGAAAGACTTTCCCTTAAAAATAAAACTTAGTTGTTGTGATTGTGATTATTTGTCCTATCCAGGTGAAATAATTCAAACAAGCCAATCATTTTAACTATTTGTCAATCAGAGTTTATCACCATCATCATAAAGCTTATCATGATCAATCTTTGGCAGATAATGACAGACAGGGCGATTATTGTTCATCTCTACTTCTCAGAGTGCATTCAGATCAACAGGGCCCTTCTAATAAGCTGCTGATCGGATTAATGTGTTTTAATGTTTTACATCTTAATTTAAAGATCACTGTTCCCACATAAGAATCATATTGCTCACAGGACACCCGTGGCATTACAGTAACACTGCACCATACTTGAGCAACTATATTTTCACAGTAAAAGTGCAACAATCGCTCCAAACATGGGCTCAAAAAAAAAAAAAGAGAGTTTGAGAAAATAGCTTTTCAACACATCTCCCAACCCCCCCATCCCCTGTGCTCAGTGACTGCTGAGGTCACCCCCAGCCTCTCTCTGATCTTTTAATACATTCAATCACAACCCCTCATGCATTATGCATCATTTATAACAAAGAAACACATTTCTGTGCTTTTTGTTGGGCTGTTGTCATGTTGAGCACTGTGTCGTGCGTGCCGGCTGGCTAGCGCTGCGCTGCATACAGTGGCCATTTTTAAACACCCACCTCAGAAATATAGAAACAGTGGTCACGTGTTTAAGAGAGCAATGTGAACACTATAGAGAGAACAAAGACAGCGTTGACCTACAGGCTAATGCTTCATCACTGATGCACAGGGGATGCCCAGTGAGCCATACTGCACACATACAGACGTCCACGTACTTACACGTACAGAAAAAGATGCCTGTCACACATGATCATGTTTGAGCATTAAGTTAATTCAAAGATCACATACCACCAAACCATTAGCCTATTTTATGTCCTGAAAAGCTTCCCAGATCAACGATGGAGCTCGCTGCAGAGCTACTTACCACGCAGATACTGGAAAAAACCTGTCACCAGATTTAAAGAAGTCTTTCTGACAGAAATGTCCTTATAGTGAGCCATTCTGCACCCCACTCTCCAGCTCTCGTCCTTTGCGTCCCATAAGTTCCACGGTGCATATAGGTGTGTCAGTGGAAAAAAAGACACAACAGGCAAAGCTGTCCTTTCACCCTTTTTATCCAGCAGGAAGCAAAACAGATCTGGCTGCCTGGTTTCCTCGGTGAAAGCGAGAAAGCTGCTGGAGGCTGTGATGAAAATGTCCCCTCCTCCCTGACCCTCTCACACTCTGTCAGACATGCACACACACCCACGCACACGCACACACACGCAGAAGGCAAGGCATAAACTAATAGAGCGGGTGATCTACAATCCCATCCTTCCTCCTTCCTCCTGTGTTTTTCCCATCCAGAGGAGCCATGGCTGTGTGGATGTGTACAGCCCTCGCTGCACTGCCTCGCTGTATCATCACACCATCTGAGGCTGGAGAGGGCTCAGCTAGGAGGCTAGCTCAACCAATCACGGTTTGGAGTGTGTGTGCTGTTGGGGGTGATGTCACAGCCGCGGCTGTATTATCCTGATTTAAGCCTAGTTGGTGTGTGTGTGTGTTTGTGTGGCAGTGTCTGTTAGCTTATATTTGCCTATAAGACATGTCTAATCCTCTATGACACTGAATCTTTATAACAAAACAAACACCAAACTGGCATACGGGGCTTTGCTATAAACTTAATTAGAAACAAATGAGGTCCCAATGGTCCAATAGATTTAAAAGACAGAGCAAAGACTGCTATATAGAGTACAACTGATGCACCTAATTCAATAATTAATTCTGAGGTTGCAGAATGACATGCACCACCTGCTCTCCCTCTCTCCGAGCCCAACGCTATTGTGACGACAAAGAAGACACACCCACTCAGGGATTCCCTTTGCAAAGCCTGATGTAAAAGCTCTAAAGCACATCCATTATCAATGCAGCAGTAAGCAGAATCTGTTCAATGTTGAATGGTGCTTTTCTAGAGAACTACTAATTTAAACATACCACTTTGACATAGTAAATACATTATTTGAAGTGTTATCATCTTGTGCAGAAAATCCCTTTATTATTCAGAATCCCCGACATACTAAAAGCCTTCTCTTGCACGTAATAAATAACCCTGAGGTGTTGCTATAAATAGTTTTTTACACAGGAGGCTATTTTTTCCTTTCCATGCAGTAAATTGTTAGTAGCTGTTGCTCAGAACGGACAGCATTCTTGCTAGGAAAGTAGTTATATCTTATTCTCATTCTGCATAGATTAAGGGATTAGAGGTAAACGAATACAGCATGCAGGAGCATAATAACTGTCATCTCTAAGGTGGAGCAGACTGCAATGGACATGTTCAATTAATTCTTACACTTTTTTCCTCCTTTTTTAACAAACACAGTCATTTGTTTGGTATAACCCGCATCTTTTTTTCAACAAAATAAATTTATAAAGACATGACCGTCAAACTATATTGACTTAAAATTAGGACACTAAGGCTGAAACAATTAATCGGATTAATCGTGATTGATTGATTATTGATTATTGATTAGTCGTTAAATGGAGACTCTAAAACAGACCTTCAGCTGACAGAGTGGCCTACTTAGAAGAGTAATTATACCAAAATGTAAAAAAATAAAATAAATAAATAAATAATAATAAAAAAAAAATATATATATATATATATATATATATATATATATATATATATATATATATATATATATATATATATATATATATATATAT